CCCCCCCCTTGTCCTCTCGCCCCCTCCGGCCTCCCCCGCACACCCCCGGCCCCAACGAGCCCCCAGACCCCCCGGGGGAGCCCCCTCCTCACCTCGGCCGCTGGCCACGACCACCAGCAGCACCAGCAGCAGCTCCGGGGACCCCCGCACCGGAGCATCCCCCTCGCCAGGTCCCGGCAGCCCGGGAGGTGCGGAGAACTGAGGAAAAGCCCCAAAAACCCACTCGGCCCCTCTCCACCTCCCCAGGGACCCCCCTTACCCCCCAGGCGGTGACCGGGGGGGTCAGCCCGCCCGCCCGGGCTGAGCAGCCCCTCCGTGCCAGCTTTTCCCTGGCATCCGCATCCCCTCATCCCCCCCTTGTCCCGCCGCGGGACTCGCCCCCTCCGGCCTTCCCCGGCCCCAACGAGCCCCCGGCCCCCCCGGGGAGCCCCCTCCTCACCTCGGCCGCTGGCCACGACCACCAGCAGCACCAGCAGCAGCTCCGGGGGGCACCGGGGACCCCCGCACCGGAGCATCCCCCGCGCCAGGTCCCGGCAGCCCCGGGAGGTGCGAAACTCCCCCTCGGCGAGTGCCCGGTGGCGACTTCCTTCTCTCCTCCTCCTCCTCCTCCTCTTCCTCCTCCACGTGATCTCAGCCCTCGCTGTGACCCCCCCCGGGGCCGCCCCTCCCTGGGGGTGGGCGCTGGGGAGGGAGGGGGTGCCCGGGTACCCCCCGTGCCCCCGAGGGGGGGAAGGACGGGCAGGGCTCGGGGCTGGGCAGCCCAAAAACCTGCGAGGGAATTGATTTTACTGACCCGAGGAGGGCGGGTTTGGGGGGTTTTGCTTTGCCTTTTGCGGCTCCTTCGGGGAGGAGAAGCTGCTCCGGGCGCAGTTTGGAACTCGGGCTCCCGGCGGCAGGATCGGGCCCACGGGGAGCAGTAGCCAGCCCAAAAACCCCCGTGCTGTGGGGTCAGGGAGCTGCGGAGCCCGGCCGGGGGTCTCCCAGCAGATGGATTCACAACCGGACTGATCCTGCCTTCGTCTCCCTCCGAATTTCCACCTTTCCCCGGGACAGAGCAGGTTCTCCCTTCTCCTCACCTCCTCCCTCTGCTGAGCCCAAGGGAAGCGTGGGGGCATTTTCGGGGGGTCAAAAATCCTCAGCACCGAGAGCATCGCTGAAATGGGGCCGTTACCCGTGAATTCTTGTAAAAACCTGCCGGGTTTTTTTAAGGAAACGTCGCATTTCTAGGAAAAGGTGCTCTGCTGGCGAGGATCTGTGGGAAGCAAAGGGGGGAGGGTGGTGAGTGAGAGCTTCGTCAGAGCTTCCTCTGCCTGTGGAAAACGGGATTTCCTTTCTGTCAGCCTTGGATAACAAACATACATCGGAGAAAATAACCCCGACGGTGGGTCGTTAGGGAGAGGTGAGCGGAGGATACGAGAGAAGGAGGAACTGAAAACACTTCCCGAGCCGCTCTCAGGCTCCCTGAGGGAAGCGCCAGGGAGAGGTTTGTTCCCTCTCCCGAATATCTCAGCTCCCGATCTGTAAATAAATCCGGGATGGCTTCCATGGGGAAGGAGCATCGGTGTTATCTGGGAGCGGCGCCGCCGGGTTTTGTCGCTCCTTTACCTGGCGCAGACACCCCCTCGGGCAGATATTCCTCAGCTTGGCCCCAGGGTGCTTCTCCCGCGCTCCGGCAGCTTTTCCCGGGATATCCAGCGTGTCGCTGGAAGAGAGCAAGAGGCGCCGGGGTCAGCGGTCCCCAAATCCGATCAGTCCCGCCGTCTGCTCCCGCCCCTGGAGCCGCGCCACTAATCACCTTATGGTAAGCTCATTGCCTTCCCTGGCGGCTCCCAGACATTCCCGGGAGGCTGCGAGCCATTCCCGGACTGCTCTGAGCCATTCCCGGCCGGCTCCCAGCCATTCCCGGCCGGCTCCGAGCCATTCCCGGGAGGCTCCGAGCCATTCCAGGTCCCGCTGGTGGCTTGGAAAACCCCGTCTGGGCACTGAGTGACGCGAGGGACGAGTTTGGGACCGGGGGGGTCACTGAGCAAGGCTCTGGTTCTGCTTGGAGGGGGGAGGTGAAAGGGGCAGTTCCCAGCCAAAAAAAAAGTGGAGAAAAGGCACTGGGAGAGGAGAGGGGAGGGATGGGATGAGCCGGAGCGGGATTTCCGCAGGATGGAGCGCTCAGGTGTGTCCCCGAGGATGCTGAGGGGTCCCTGCTCCATCCCCAGGGGGTTTCAACCCCATCCGTGAGGGAAACCGAGGCCCGATCCTTCCATCCCGGGCAGAGGCGGCCGGAGGAGCTCCCCGGTTTTCCCTCCCTCCCCACGCGGTGCCCCGGCAGTGACGCGGGGACGCTCCGGCTCCCACGGCCCCTCTTTCCTCCTCCCCCCCTCCCCTCGCAAAAAACTAATTAAGGCGACAAAGGGGGGAAAAAAGAAAAAAAAAAAGCAGCGTTTTTTATGAGGCTGGAAAAAAAACCCTCGGCTCCGATTTAATTAGAGCTTTTGTCCGCGGCTCCATTCAACACGTAGAGAACAATTTACATCAAGGGGAACCTTCCCCGGGGCTGCAAAAAGCTCTGCCCGGGGAGCGCGGAGAGGGGGAGAAAAAAGGCGAGGGAAGGAAAGGGAAACATTTACCGCGTCTCCCGGCCCGCGCTGAGGAGGAAGGAGGAAGACGCCGCGCACTCCAAGCACCGCATTGCGGAGGGTGTTTTTATTCAGCGCATCATCCGCGCTTTCTCATCCCCCTTCCAGCTAAATTTGGCCCCCGGAGACGCTCAGACGAGGAGGGGGACGGAGGGTTTGGGGGGGGGGTTTGCGCCCTCAGAGCCGCGGCTCGGGATGGCTTTGGAATGTGCTTTCCCGGCTCCGGGGCTTGGGAACGCGGGGCGGGCGATGCTGCGGGAAGGGTCCCGTGGGGGACCCCCAGGGTGCCCCCCTCGTTGGCAGAAGGGCAGCTTTTTAAACGCTTTCCTGGTTCAACGCTCCCGCAGCCTCATCCCCGCGCTTCCAAACCGGGCAGGGAGGAAAATCCAAGGATTTTTTTAAAGCCGGATCCTCTCCCAGCCCGGGAGGTGGCAGCATTAGACCGCGCTCAGCTGGGCTCGGCCCTGGGGGGGTCCCCGGGCCCCCCAAAACCCGTCCGGCGGGAGCCGAGCCCCGCGCGCTGCTCCCAAATCCCTCCGGGAAGCACCGGCCGGGATGGAGCCGGGCAGGGGCTGCATCCAGGGGGAAAGCGGCGTCTTGTGGAGTCACCGAGCCTCTTCCCGGCTCAAATCCACTCGGGCCGGGGGTGCAGCCGAGCGCCTGTTCCCAGCTGGCTGTGATGGGAAAAGGATCCCCCCCCCCGGCCCTGCCCGGGGCTCCCCCCCCCCGCCAAATGGATTTATTCCCGGCCTCCCACCGCCATCATCCATCACCCGCACGAGATCCCGGGAAACCGGGAGCTGCTCCTTCCCCTCCCGCCTGTCCCGGGGCAGAACCCTGAGTCCTGCAATCCGCCACCCCCCCACCCACCCACCGCCGCTTCCTCCACGAAGCCCGTCCCACCGCCCCGTCACCGCTTCCCCCGGCCCACGGGGTCCATGTGCTGCTTCCCGAGTGCCAGCCTTGGGCAATCCCTGCCGCTCCCGGGGGGGTCCCGCCCCGCTGGGTTTGGGGCTGCAGCGCCCACACGGCCCCACACGAGGAGGGGACATGATCGGAGCCGGGGCCGCGCTGCTCTGCTGTTCGCTGCTGACAGCCGGGGGTGAGGATGCTCCCGGGGCACGGGGGGATGCCAGGGAAGGGGGGTCGGGGCATCCTGGCAGCTCCAGCGCCCGTCCCTAGGGATGCTTTGGGTGGGGGAGGAGGTGGAGACCACCCTCTCCCTCACAGTGCCGGGGTCCCCCCACCCCCGGTGCCTTGCAGGAGGCGATGTCCCGGTGCTGAGGGGGCTGCAGGGACGCTCCTTGTCCTTCCCAGCCCTGCGTCCCGCCTTCGGGGACATCGCCCGCGTCACCTGGAGGACCCGGGGGACCCACATCGCTGAGGCCAAGCCCGGTGAGAAGAAGTTCTCCGTGGGTTTCCTGCCCAGTTTCCGCGAGCGGCTGCTCATCCACCCCAACAACCTCTCCCTGGAGATCCGAGGGCTGAGGCTGGAGGACAGCGGGAGCTACGAGGTGGTTGTGGACACCTCGTCTGACCCCACCGCCCCAAAGACCCTCCAGTACCGTCTGTGGGTTCATGGTGAGTCCAAAGGTGGGGCAGCAGGGATGGGGGGCTCAGATTTGGTGCCCCCCGTGGGGTTGGGCTGCCACTGCCTGAGCCCCCCCAGCCTCAAACCCACCCATTCCATGGAATTTCCCCCCCTGACCACGGGGAAGAGTCTGTGGGATGGGTGTGTGGGTAGTGGAGTAATTCCCCTTCCTCTTTCGGTGTCTGCTGCACCCACCACACACCCTGCACCCCCTGTACCCCCTGTACCCACTGCACCCACCACACCCCCTGCACCCCCTGTATCCACTGTACCCACTGCACCCTCTGCACCCCCTGCACCCCCTGCACCCACTGCACCCTCTGCACCCACTGCACCCCCTGAACCCCCTGCACCCCCTGCACCCACTGCACCCACTGCACCCTCTCTGTACCCCCTGAACCCACTGCACCCATTGGACCCCCTGCACCCCCTGCACCCACTGAACCCACTGAACCCCCTGTACCCACCACACCCCCTGCACCCATTGGATCCCCTGCACCCACCACACCCAGCCCTGGTGGCTCCCAAACCCTGGGGGTGGGGGGTCTTCACCCCCTGTCCCAGTGGCACCCACCCCACCCCCCAAATGTGTGGGCCAATCCCGTGCCCCCCAACCCCCCCCTGTCCCCATGTCACACCTCGCCCTGTGCCCACAGGTGACCCCTCCAGGCCTGGTGACGCCGTAGGACACGGTGGCAGCACCGTCACAGGACACGGTGGCAGCACCGTCACACCCCGAGGGGTGACCGAGCCACGGGCTGGAGACCCCACAAGGCAGGACACGGATTTGGGGCAGCCCCCCGAGGGCAGAGGGGGGCCGGGGACGTGCGGGGGGTGGGGACACTACTGTGAGCTCAAGGGTTACCTCGTGGCCGCCGTCCTGGGGCCGCTGCTGGTGCTGGTGGTCACCGTCCACCTGGTGACCAGGGACAAGGCCACCGAGCTGGGGGACGAGGTTTCAGCAGGATCTGAGTCCCCTGGCACTGCCATCCCACTGGGATCATCCCCATGGCAACGATGAGCCCCTGTTTGTGCTCCGCTGCCTCGGTGTCCCCATCCAGGGAAAGCCTCAGTGTCCCCATCCAAAAAAAAGCCCCTGCGGGATGGGAAGTGCAGGACGTGAGGCAGGGATTTCACAAGCGATGCCACTTCCTCCCAGAGGCCACCAGAGCTGCCACCCCCAGGTCCTGGCAGGACCCAAACACATCCTGGCACAGCCCCTCTCCTCACACACCCAAAATCCAGGGATCCCGGGGCATCGCCAGGCTCATCTTTCCAACCCCAAATGTGCCATGAGATAACCCAGAGTGCCATAAAACCTCCCCCAGTTTATAATCAGTGAATTATTTACTGGTGACCCTGAGCAGACGCTGCGCAGCATAAATTATTGAGTGGCAGATCTGTCAAAAAGTTCTCATAAATAAGTTATCTGGTGCCGTCCTTAATGTTCCCAGTAAATTACTCATCCAATCTCCCGTCTAAACGCTCTCCTGGGGAAATTACTCCTGCCTGCTGAGTTATGAATTAGGCCTGGGCAAACGAGGACGAGGAGAGGAAGGAGAGCCCTGCCAGGACAGCCCAGGGTTTTGCCTCGCCAGGATTCCCAAAAGCATCCCTGGGCTCCCCCTCTGGGTGCTCCGGGATGGATCCCGGTCTGTGGGTGATTCCAGAGGGATTGTCCCCACCCTGGGTGTGTTTGGGATAATCCCAGAGATCCCGGGGCTCTGCAGTGATCCCACAGCTTCCCAAAGTTTGGGGGAGCAGCCCCCGCTCCCAGCCCTGCTCTGCAGGAGGGGGTCAGAGGGGATTCCCCAAATCCACCCAGCACTGACACCTTTCCATGGCCCCAGCAAGGCCAATCCCTCCCCACCAGGATCCTGGGATTGCTGTGTCCATCTCCATCATTCCAGGAACCCAGTCCTTTCCTACCAACAGCCCGGGATTGCTGTGTCCATCTCCATCATTCCAGGAATCCAATCCCTCCCCACCAGCAGCCTGGGATTGCTGTGTCCATCTCCATCATTCCCAGAATCCAATCCCTCCCCACCAGCAGCCCGGGATTTCTGTGTCCATCTCCATCATTCCAGGAATCCAGTCCTTTCCCACCAACAGCCTGGAATTGCTGTGTCCATCTCCATCATTCCAGGAACCCAAATCCCTCCCAGGTCCTGGCCCTAATTAGGGCACCACGACCCCAACACACAAAATCCCAAGCCCTGGCAGGGGACTCCCCTTGGTCCATCCCTCTCCCCGCCTCCAGCACACGGGAATTGCAGCCATTCCCAAGGAATCTCTCGGATTCCAGGAGATTAGGACAATACCTCAAGCCCGGCTCGACCCCGCGGGGTGGGGAACGGGGAAGTGCCACCCCCGTGACGGGCACAGCCGGGACAGAGGCCCTGCATCGATTTTGGGAGGGGGCAGGACGGGAAAACGCCCGTGCCCGAGCCAAGGGTTTGATGGGAGAGCAGGAAAACGGGATTTTCCCCCGTGGAGGGGCTGGGGTGTCTCCCTGGGGACCCTCCCGCCCCTCCAGGGGAGCCCCCTCTCCCCTCACCCGCACTCGGGGTGTGTGTCAGGGCCTGGGAAGTGTTTGCTTTAATAATTAAACGTCGGTTTGGGGAGGGACAATTATTTATTTAAAGGGAACAAGGTGTTAACAAGCTCCCGATGTAATCCCCGGTGACAGATGTCGCCTTTATTAACACCTCTGTCCGAGCCCAGCCCGGGAGGCGAAACAAACAACTACAACAACCCTCGTTAGGAGACGCAGGAATTAACATCCGAGAGGGGAATAAATATTCAAAGGCAACAACAGCCCCGTGATCGTCGGCGCCGGGATGGGGGACAGGAGGGGCTGGAGCGGCCCTGGAATGACGCTGGAGCTGCAACCTCGGGATTCCGGGCCCGGGGTTTATCCCGCGGGAATTAACTCCCTTCCAGGAGGGTCTGCGGGGCTCCAGCTCCTGCCTGGGATTTGTGGAGCCGCAGGGAACTTGGATTTTCTGAGGAAAAGCCTCTCCGGGCTCCTTCTCCCTCCTCAAAATAATTCCCGAGCTCCTCGGGAGATTTCAGACACATTCCAGGAGGGGGATGAAGGATGAAGGGATGAAGGAGGGAGGGAGGGAAGGGGGGAAGGAGGGTGGGAAGAGCTGGGGGGGCTCAGCCCCGTGTGAGGCACCGACAGGGGCTGGGGGAGGTGGCACAGGGATAATGGGCCTGGCACTGGGATAACGGCCCCAATTCCAGGATGATGGAACCAGCGCTGGGATAATGGGCTGGGGACTGGGATAAAGGACCTGATGCCAGGATGATGGATCCAATTCCAGGATGATGGACCCGAGAGCAGAACGATGGACCCAACACTGGGATAACGGGTCTGATGCCGGGATGATGGATCCAATTCCAGGATGATGGAACCAGTGCTGGGATAAAGGGCTGGGCACTGGGATAAAGGGCCTGATGCCAGGATGATGGATCCAATTCCAGGATGATGGATCCAATTCCAGGATGATGGACCCAACGCTGGGATAATGGGCTGGACACCAGGATAAGGGGCCTGGCGCCGGGATGATGGATCCAACACCAGGATTATGGGCCTAACACCGGGATAATGAGTCTGATGCTGGGCTGAGGGGCCCAACACCAGGATAATGAGTCTGACCCCGGGATGAGGGGCCCAACACCGGGATTACGGGTCTGACTCCAGGATTAGGGGCCTGACAGTGGGATAACGGGCCCAGCATGGAGCTGGCTGGGCCATGGTGGCTTTGCCCTTGGCTTTTCCCAGGTTTTGGGGGTCCCCACGGCCTCTCCCAGCCCCCCTGGAGCCCCATCCCCGTCTGCTCCCGCTCCCAAGTGGCTTTTCCCTCTCCTGCCGTCAGCAAATTCCGGCTGCCGCCGCCGCTCCTCCCTGACCTCTCTCCCTGCTCCACAAACTCCCTCAGATTTCCCTCCTCCTCAAATTCCTCGGAGCGGGGGCAGCTCTGTGGGGCCCTGGAGACCCTCCAGCGCCCAGGGAAGAGTTTGGGTGGTTTGGGAGCCAAACCCTTGGCGATTCCCTGGAATATCCATCCCGGCCCCGGCTTCCCCCGTGGACGCTTCCCAACCCAACCCGCGGGATTTGGGTTTAATAAACATCCTTTTATTTTCATCCCTCCTTATTGCAACCATCCATCTCGGCTCCTCCGGCCCGCGGGAAGCTCCCGGTGCTTCCAAGATTTGCCAGGGGGGGAATCTGAGAATCCCAGGAGTTGGGAGGTTCCCCCAGAGAAGATCCAGCTGGAGGAAGGCTCCGAGGAAGAAGAGGGAGCCCAAAACCCCCCCCCGAGCCCGTCGCCCCTCACGTGGCACATCAGGGACACTGGGAATGTGCCAACCTGGAACTGCTGGAAGAGGGGAGGGAAAAAACATTTGGAAATCCCCGGGAGAGCCTAAAAAAATCGGGAGGGGGGGGGCTCAGAGGCCTCTGATCCCGTCCCGGAGCCGCCGCTCTCCGACCCCCTTGGCAGAGCCGGGATGTGGAGCGGGGCCGGGCCCGACTCAGGCGCCGCTTCCCGGTTTTTTTCCATGTTTCCTCTAAATCCCTCCGGGCTGAAAATTCTATTTAAGATTAAATAAAAAAAAATAAAAAAAAAAAAATAAGAAAAAGAAAAAGAGGAGGGAAGGAAAAAGGAGAAGAGAAGCAAAAACAAGCACTAAAAAAAAAATCCCCAAACCCAAGCCCTGGCAGTGCAGAGCTGGAGGATCTCACACGGACACACACACACAACACGCGTCAACACGCGTGTGCAGACGGGCACACACGACACACGGATGGGCACACACACCCCAATATGCATGTGCACACCCCAACATGTATGTACACATCCTAACAGGGATGTGCACACCCCAACACACATGTGCACAACCCAACACACATGTGCACACCCCAACATGTATGTACACACCCTAACATGGATGTGCACACCCTAACATGTATGCAGACACCCCAATGCGCATGCAGACATCCCAACATGTATGTCCACGCCCCAACACACACACACACTCATGTGCACACACCCACCACACACACACACACACACACACACACACACACACACACGCAGCCCTTAAACCCCACGTGTGACACGTCCCCTCCGTCCCTCCCTCCCCTCACACACGGACCCCCCCAAACACACACAGAGCCCTCCCTCCCCTCCCACCCCTCTCACCCCCTTCCCCTCCCTCCCCTCCCTCACCCCCCTTCCCCT